CCTGTCAGCCTCTGTCGTCAGGCTGTGCTGGGAGCTGCGTGTGCTCGTATTTCCCTGCCGTGGGGGAGGGCCCTGAACGCACTGGCTGCTGCCAGGCAGCCGGCCGAGCTGTGGCCCTCCCTTCCGGCCCTGGGCGTGTGCGGTGACAGTTTGAGCCACCCTCTGATGCCTGGCTGCTGGGGAGGTGAGGACCCGAGGACGCGAAATCGGGCCCAGCTCTGCCGAAGAAGTTTCCTTGACTCTTCCTCCTGGGGTTCCCACGATCCCTCCCCACCCTAGCGGGTAGGCGCATGTATGGTACATGGCTTTGTTTCTAGAATCAGGCAGACCTGGGGTGGCTGCTTACTCGCTGTGACCTTGCATAAGCTGCAGGGTCTCCCAGCCCCTCTCCCCTTCCGCAGAAATGGGGCTAGGTCAGTGATTCTCAAACTTGAGCTGGCCCTTAGGTCTGGTTGGGGGAGAGCTGGTTAAATGGGATGACACCCGCCCCAAGTTTCTGATTCAGCAGGTGGAGCCTGAGAATTGGGGCCTCTCACGTTTCCAGGTGAGGCTGACCTGGGTGCGTGTCGAGGCCCCCTGGGCTGGGTAACACCTGCGTTCCACGCTGACCTAGCCTGTGCTCCCCGGGGGGCTGTGTGGCGAGGCAGCACAGTTGGGTGGTGTGGCCCTTGATCTCTGACCTCCCACCCTCCCAGCATGCCCTGAGGCTGCAGTTACTTCAAACCATTTGGGTCCAGGTGCCACGGATCCCGCCGCCCAAAGCCGCCCCTCTGTATTTGGGCCGCAGCTCGCAGTCGGTCGGGCCTGCCCACTCAGCACCCCAGAGCCTCAGGGTGAGGGACAAGCGTTGGTCTGGGGGAGCTTGTAGATCTTAACTTGTTGGCCACTGCTCAAGGCTTCATTAAGGGAGGCTCTAAGGTGGGCAGCTGTGGGCCTGGCGACCTTGGGTGAGCGTCTCTCGGGTAAGATGCTGATAAGGAAGCCAGCTGGAGACAGGTGGGAGGATGAAGGGCGATTAGGGAGGCCGTCCTCCCCAGCACGCTTCACACTGGCCGGCCTCCATTGTGATCGAGATTATTGCTGGGCGTGGCCCCAGGGCGTGGGGGCTGGGCAGTGTCCTGGGGCCCCGCCCCCAGCCCACCTCCTAGCCTACGTGGCGAGGGGGGAGGGGTGCTGGCTTTCCCCCAGAGACACAGCCAGCATTTTCTTGCTGTGTCCTGTGACTCTGGCTAGTGGAAGAGGCCTGCCCCCAGTTGTGTGGCTGCTCCTTGAGGGGGTAAGGATTTGGGGTCAACCCCTCCTCCGTGGCCCAGAGAGAAATGACTGTCCCAAGGTCATGAGGCCACCAGAGAGACAGGATGGGTGTCCAGATGTCTGGACTCCAGCCCAGGGCCGGTGCCCAGGGCACCCCCCCACCCCAGCTGTCTGGGCTATTTCGGGCTCCCTCCCGTGCCAGCTGTCTGTTGGCCTCAGTGCCCGGGAGTGTCTGGTGCTGCGCTGGTCCATCTCCTTCGCTGGGAAGGAGGGGGTGTGCACCCTGGAGTACCACTTCCTTCCCCCTGCAAGGGGAGTACGTTGGGGTTTGAGTTACCGATGTCCCAGACGCCTCTTCTTTCATACTCCCCTGAAACCAGGCTCTGCCATGGCTGAGCTCGTTAAGCCCCCTTGGTCCCCACGTGACAGGCTGCCACCTGCGAGGGTCTACCTGTTTGTGGGCAGAGCGCCTCCAGGCTTGCCCGCTGCCCCCAGTCCAGGTAGGGAGCAGTTAGGTGCTAAACTGTGGCCTGGCTGTGACTGCGGTATCTGGGGACGGCCAGGACCATACTGTCTCCTGCCCCCATCCATCCTCTGGGTCCCCTGTATCACCTCCTGGGGGGGGGAGCAGGCTGTTGTCTTCCTGTTCCTTTTGGCCCTGAAGTCCCCGCCCCCAGCACCAGGAGTGAGAAATGGCTTGCCCCGCCCAGCAGAGAGGCCAGGCCAGCCCAGTGCCAGTCCAGTGGAAGGGCGGCCAGCTGGGAGGTGGCAGACTAGCCTGATTGCTGAGCCTCCAGGGTCCCTGCCTCCTCCGGCCCCTCCACCTGGAGCCCGAGCTTGGACTGAGACCTTTCAGACCCTCCCCTCTTGGAGCAAATGTTGCTTCAGCTTAGACTGAACAGGCGGCATTGTCCTAGGGTCACTTGGGCCCAGTGTCATCTGCAGCTGGCCTAAGACCTCCAGCAGACTCTGCCAACCAGGAGGAGGAAGTTGGATGATACCCTCCTGAGCTGCTTCCGAGTCTGGCTCTGCAAGGGGAGCATTTTGTACCCCCAAACTGTCTCCTGCCCCCACTCCCAGTGTCTGGTGGGAACAGCACCAGCCTGCAGGAGTCCTCGGGTGGGGTGGGCAGACAGCCACACTGGCTTGACCGCTTTCTGGCTCTGGGGGAGGCGGGAATCAGGGCGCCATCATTGAGGTCCTGAGCTCAAGTCCGGGACGCTGGACTTCACCTGACAAGTCGGAAGTGGACCTGCCTCTGCTGCTGTCCTGGGCTCCATTTCCCAGCTGGCCTCAGTACAGCAGAGGCCTCCAAGTGGACACAAATGAGTTCACCTCACAAATGTACCCAGCAGCCCCTGGAGGCTCCTTGTGGCAAGACCTGGCTTAAAGAACGAATAATCTTTTCCGCCTTCGTAAACTCCCCCGAGTTTCTGGTGCATGAAGGAGAATGACACGCTCTGGACACCTCACAGGTAAGGAAGCAGGCCTCCCGGGCAGGCCAGGTGGGGGCCGGCCGCCCTGAGGAAGCACTGAGCAGCTGGCCTGGCTCCTGGGTATTTTTAGCTCCAGCTCCAACCCCACCATTAACCACAGGAGCCAAGTCCAAATCAAACACACTCCGGGCGGGTAGGAGCTGGGGATCTGCCAGCCTCGGCCTCCTGGCCAGGCCGGGTGGGTACGAGGCCTTGGCCAGCGTCAGCTGTTCTGCCCGGCTCAGGCAAGGCCGGGGAGGCTGGCTTTTCCCTCCCTCCCTTCAGTTTTATAAGCTTTTTTTTTTTTTTTTTTTTTGGTCCTAAGTAGAGATTGTAATAACTCCATTTCTTGGAGGCCGGGGTCAGGATTCTAAGGGAAGTTGAGTCCTCCCGCAGACTCTGTTAAACCATGCTTTGGGGACCCTTCAAAGTGAATTCTCTCCAGGCCCTTTATGGCCTGCACCCACCCTCCTGCCCCACCTTGGGCTTCAGGGTTCCCATGTGGGGGCAGGGCCAACCTGAGGCAGCCGGAAGGGAGAGCCTGGGGCTGGCTGCAAGGGTGAGTGGCCCTGGCCTCACTGTCCCTGAGTGACTGCCCCACCTGGCTCGGCCTCCGGCCTCCTCATGGTCCTGGGGAAAGTCACCCTGACAGGTCTCTGGGCCTGGTCCCTGTTTCAGCAGCCAATCACAGCTTCTCCCTGGGTGTCCCCAAGGGCTGGTTCTGGCTAGCTGGGCCCCTCCCCTGTTCCAAAGCCTTCAGTCCAGTGCTGCGTGGAGGCTGGCAGGGAGGTCTTCCTTGGCACCTGCCCGGGCATCTGGCCTCACTCCTCAGCCACTGCAGAGCCTGAAGGGGTGGGTCTTGAACCACCCTGCACTGCACAGGCCAGGTCAGCTGCTCGCCCTGAACTGCACCCGGCAGGGACTCTGGTCTCTTAACTTGCTTGCATCTCCCCAATCCATTAGATTGCTTCCCCAGACTGAGCTCCCAATAAGTAGCCTCTCAATAAACGTGGTGAAAAAAACAGTTGAGTCGCTGTACGTTTGTCTAGGGTGCTTCACCCAGAACATGACCTCTGCCAGTATCAGAGCGCTCCTACCGTCATGGGCCGTCCTGGCCTCCCTCTTCCAGCTCTGGGCCTCTGCCTCTTTTTTTGGCTTCTATGGGCAGTCGGTGCCGCCCTCTGGTGGCCAGATCCTGCACTCGCTGAAACGACCTGGCATTTACGGAGCTGCCAGGTTGGCAGTTTGCTCTGCAAAGTAGAGTTTGCCTGACCTTTCTAAGAACTAGAGGACGGTCTTCGGGGTGACACTGGGGGCAAGAAGATCCTAATCCGGCCAACCCCCTCTAAGGAAACACGTGGGGTCCTGTGCACCCCCACCACCCTGCTGGCTGGATCTGTGAGAGGACTTGTCCCCTGGCCTGGCTCCTGTATGCCCGGGGAGGGTGGAGTGGCCGGCCAGTGGCCTGGTAGTGCCCAGGGTTCTGGCCAGGAGTCCTTTGCCGGCAGAACGCGTCACTGAAGTTCTCCACGGGAGATTAGCAGCCTCCGAGCGCAAGGAGGAGGGCCCAGCTGATCTGCCTTGGCCTGCCCCTCCCCGACCGAGTCTTGATCCGTTGATGCCTGCGGCCCCTGGTGGAGAGAGGCGCCAGCCCACGTGGTCCGGGCCAGCCTCTGACGCCGTCACCTGCGGTCGCTCAGCAGAGGGCGCCAGACGCCCGCCCTGCAGCCCCCCGCGGGGGCAGGTAAACACCTCGCCCCTGCCTCCGGGCCAGCATCTTCCCTGGCTCGGCCGTCACCTGCTGCGGGGGAACTGAGGCGAAAGGCGGACTTTCCCCCAAGCCGCGCAGCCGAGGCAGGGCAAAGCTGGTGGGTTTTTCCCCGAGCTTGAGACCCGGGCTCCTCGAACCCGGGTGCGGGAGGCCTAACCCGCCAATCAAAGAGTCCTGTCTAGCGGTGGGGGGAGAGGGCGAGCCGGCCAATCAGAGGGTCCTAGCCGGAAGGCGGAGCCTGCCAATCAGGGGCGCCGGGAGCCGAGCGGTGGAAACGGTCCGGTCTTGCCGGCGGGGGGCGCACGGTGACTGGCGGAGGTTGGGTGGGAGCTCCGCTGGTGGCTGAGCACGCAGTCTCTCAGCTGCCTCAGTTTCCCTGGGACAGAGGTGAACATTCAGCGCCAAGACCCTCACAAAAAGGAAACTAAGGCCGGGAGTCCTCCTGGGAGGCTGCCTGGCGGAGGCGGCGCTGGCTCCTAAGGGGCGGGGGCTCCCTAGCTGCTCCGAGCTATGGACGCCCCAGGGGCCCCGGCCCCAGCCCCGGCCCCGACAGCAGCCCGGGGTCCCGGCAAGAAAGAGCTGAAGATCGTGATCGTGGGCGACGGCGGTTGCGGCAAGACCTCGCTTCTCATGGTGTACAGCCAAGGCTCCTTCCCCGAGGTGAGGCCCCCGGTGGTCTGCAGGGGAGCCGGCACGGACTTGGGGGACCTCTGGGAACGAGGGCCGGCCCCCAGCCTGCACCTGGAGCCCTGGGTCCTGGCACCTGAGTGTCGACAGGCGGCCGCCACCACGGGCCGCCCCCTCGGGAATTCCAAAGACCAGGGGGTTGAGCGGGGCTGAGCCGGATGGCGTGAGCGTGGGGGGGATGGGGAGGGGTTCAGCCGGCCCGGGGTCCCCGCCGCTTCCCTGAAGACCCTCCCGATCCTTTCTACAGCACTACGCCCCGTCGGTGTTCGAGAAGCACACGGCCAGCGTGAACGTGGGCAGCAAGGAGGTGACCCTGAACCTCTACGACACGGCGGGTGAGTACACCTGTGCACCGAGGGTTAGCTCGGCCCAAGCGTTTCCCGCCGGCATCCCCCACCGGGCATCCCCACCCGCCAGCCTCCATGGGCCCGGATACCCCATCAAGCCTGTAGGCTGCTCAGGTCCCCAGCAGGGGCAGGAGTCATGTCACCACGGCCAGTCTGGACTGCCAGGCCCCTCCTGGCCGCTGTGCTGAGGTTCAAGGCGTGTCCCCTCCCGTGGTTCTGCCTCCCTCGGTTCTGGGGTTTCACACGTTACATGCTGTGGTCTCTGAAGGCCCGTGGGCTGTAGATCCGGGTCCTGGTGCTGAGATCCAGCTGCGCGTTTCTGGGTCCTGTGGTTCTAGGACATTGGGGCCTGTGGCTCCAGGGTCCTGGACGTCCCTGGTTCTAGAATTTGGTGGCGACAGTCAGTGCTCTGCTTTCCTGGTTCCTTGGAACAAGCCACCAACTTCGGGAGGGATCTGGGAGGGAGCAGAGCTCCAGGGACATCAGTGCAGAAGCCAGTTCTACCTGGACCCGCTTCCCACTGACAGTCTAGACAGTCCGTCATCGGTCGGTGCCCGGAGTCAGGGGCACCGTCCATGGGGCGGGGGGGCCCTGACTGCTTCCCTCTTCCTCCACACCGGGGAACAAAGGTTGGGAGTCCGAGCCGGGGCCTCGCCCAGCCTCCGTGACTCAGTGTGGTGGCCTGTGGGAACCCTGTCCTGGGGCGTCCCTTCCCCGCCCGGCAGGCCTTGTGTGTGAGTGAGGTCAAGTCCAACCTTGGATGGAGCCGATGTCCTGACCTCCCCGGGCGGTCCCCGGAGGGACATAACAGGGCAGACAGGCCCAGACGCCTCCTCGTTCCTGACGTTGGCCGGCTTTGCTGTACAGGCGCCCCTTTGTGGGAAAAGCACCCCACTAGCTGTCTGAGGTCCCTGCAGGGTCTCCCCCAGAGCAGAGCCAGGTCTAGGTGAGCTGGGGAAGGGAAAGCTTCAGAGGAACCCCCGAGGCATGGCCCGGAGCAGGGAAGGACAGGTCCCTAACCCACTGTGGGCGTGCTGGTGGGGCAGAGGCATTGCACAGCACCCCAGGGGCCTGGGAGCGTCCAGGCATTCTCCTCTCTCCTCCTCGCCCACCAGATCACGGGGTTCACTGTCCAGGTGGCCTCCCCGGTCAGACCAAGGGCAGGGACCACCTCAGGGCCAGGTGCTGCTCGGAGGAAGATGCTTAGAGAACACGTCGGAGTAGACTGTGCGGGCAGTTCCAGGTGGAGGGACGGAGGTGGCCTCTGCCAGGGTCATCGGAAGCCGGGTGGCCTCATCCATCACGTCCTGCCACCTGGGTCGAGTAGCATCCGGGCCATCCGGGCCTCGGTTTCCTTATCAGAGCTAAGATGGTCGTGAGGCTTGAGTCAGATTACTGCGTTAGGGGCCCGACTCTGGTTCGGGCATGTCCGTGTTGTCGTTGTGATTTCTGGGAGTCTGAGACCCATCGAGCTCTTCACTGCCCCAGCCCTGGTTGCGGGAGGGGACAGCAGCCCCTACGACTCTAACAGCACCAGCACTGGGGCTGTGCCCACGTTGTGTCCTCAGGGGATGGCCAGCCCCACAGTCAGTGTGGCAGCCCTCGGGGAAGTCGGGGTGCTCCCTCCAGGGTGTCCACGGTGACTGGGGAAGACTGCTCAGTGGGGAAAGTCCCTGGCCAGTGAGTGACATGAGAGGGCCGGGCCGTTCCTCTTGGCCAGCATGGCAGCTGTCGTCAAGTGAGGCTGGTAAGTGGCTGAGGTGTGAGTGGGCCCCCAGTAAACATGGGGACGCCCTGTCTCTACCCGCCGGGGAAACAGTGTCAGGACCTGGCAGGAAAGGGTGGCCAGTGACCAACCAGAGAAAGGGAGGCTGAGGGGGAGAGCGGCATGGCCGCACTAAGGATGAGCCCAGTCAAGATTGTAGAATGTTCTGGAAGGGGAGTTATACTGGTGCTCTGCAAGGCCAACCCACATGGAAGGTTCTCGGTCCAAGTCCGGAGCTCCCCTGAGTACACCAGGTTATGCCTGTGATTCAGAGCTGGCAAAGGCTGGGGTTGGATCGGGCTGTCGGTCCCGTTGGGGGTGCTGTCTTTCTTACTTGCGGAAGTATCAATAGCAAATAAATCAACTTTAAGGAAAAAAAGAAGGTTCTAGAAAGTTAGATCTAGAGGGGGAGGGGAGCCTCTTCCTACCCGCGGTGACAGAGCTGTGGGACAAGGTGGCCCCTGGGAGGCTGAACTCTTCCCCACCTAGGACCAAGTGGCCCTGGGCAGTGCCAGGACTTTGCCCACCGGGGCCTGCGTGGAGGGCCTGTCTGGCCACTGTCGCCGTCCTGCGGAAGCAGTTACAGACACCGCAGCATCAGGAGGGTGGATGGGGCCTGTGCTCAGAGGTGCAGGGAGGGCGGGCCGCCCCACATGGCAGAGGCAGGAAGCTGTGGTGAGGTCTGATGTTTCCTGGGCAGAGGGAGGCGGGGGCGAGGTGGGCGTCGGCCGAGGGATGAGCGCCCTGGGGCTGGGGGTCTGCACAGGAGGGAGACGGGGAGCTGTGGTCCCATCCCAGCCTGAGAGGGGACAGGAGAAAGTGGGGGACAAAGGGGTTTCCAAGTCAGGGACACGAGGGGTGTCATGAGCCCCAGCAACTACCAACACAGGAGATCTGTATGAGCTGACGCTGGGGTCAGAAATGGCCTCGAGGGGCCAGCATGTGGCATGGCGGATGAGGGCGCTGGGCTTCTACATGGCCGACTGTGGTTCAAGTCCCGGGCCTGGTAGAGTGCTTTCTCTCAGTTTCTCTCTCTCTCTTTCTGTCCCTTTTTGGTCAAATTAAAATAAATAAATAAGTTAAACAAAATAATTCTTAAAAAAGAAAAACATGGATCATGCCCAGCCGGGGCAGCCCCAGCCCCCGTTACTCCTGCCTGTAGGGAGGAGACACAGGTGGGTGGGCCATAGCAGCTAGTAAAAGCGGGTTCCTCTTCTGGCAGCTTCCCCTTCTCACACTGCCTGTGCCCGACCAACGCCCAGCCCAGGGGAGCTGGGACCCACAGCCCTGGTGTGTCCTCCATGGAGAATGGAACCATGAGGACATCTCACCCCAGCTGGGGCCTTTGAGACCCCTGCCCTGAAAGGCCTGCAGGCAGAGCCCATCCCACAGAGGAATTAGCCCACGTGAGGCCGAGGCTGAGCCCAGCTTCCGGCCAGCCCCAGGCACCGCCAACCTCAGGCCGTCCGGCTGCAGGGCGCCTGGGCCCTGAGCTTTCCTGGCCAGAAACAAACGCCTCCTTTTGCACCTAACTCCAGGGCGCACTAAACCTCTTAAGCCTGTTCTGCAGAGGCTGACTTGGGCAGGTGACTCGGCTCCTTTAAGCCTTGGCATCATTGTGGGTAAACCGGGGAGGGGAACAGCAGCACCTCGTGACTGGGAGGCCCCCTAAAGCTGTGGGATTAGAACCCTCACCCTTTGGGCTTAACTTCCCTTGGAAGTACCGCAGTGGCAGGCTCTCACCTCTGCTGGCACTGCCCAGCGTGAGGTCCTCTCATTGCCCACCTCAGGGGCAGGGTGTCGCCGCCTTTTCCAGATAAGAAAATAGGCCTGGAGAGTGCACGTGAGCAGGAGCCTGGCCCTCTCACTCCTACAGGAGAAGGTATCCAATACATTCCACCCCTCCCCAGGAGGTGTGGGGCCAGAAGCACAGGGAAGCCCCTCGGCTGCACACCCACACGGAATCCTGGGGAAAGTCGAGCATGGCAGAGTCAAGCCAGGAAGGCAACCTGGAGGAAGAGCTGAGGTCTGGGAGGCCTTCTTTCTTGAGATGGCTGTGTTAGCAATGATTTTTCCTCACCCAAGGCACATAGGGTAAGGACTGCCCCCAGATTCTGGGGTGGGCTGGGAGAAAGCCACCCCAGTCGTCCCACCTGTGGTCCTGTCATTTATGAAGCCCCCCCTTAGCTGTGTGACCTTGGGCAAGTCACTTCACCTGTCTGTGCTTTAGTTTCTCCATCTGTAAAATGGAGGTAACAAGAGCGTCTTCTGGTCGGGTCACTGAACAATGAGCGAGTCCGCAGCAGGTGAAGGGCTTCAGACAGGGCCTGGCATAAGGACGAAGCCCTCCGGGTAAACACTGTCGGCATTAACCACGTTTACTGTCACTGTCATCAAGGCTCTCCTGCTTCCCACACTTCACAGATGAGGAAACTGAGGCCCACAGGTCAGTTCCCAGACGGGAGCACAGAGGAAGGCTTCCTGGAAGAGCTGGTGCTTTTAGAGTGGCCTGGTAGGCAGGTGACCTTGGCATGGGGCCGAGCTGGCGCTCAGCTCACAGGGCGCCCGTCTGCGACCTTGACAGAGGTCCCCCTCTGCCACTTGGGCTGTTACAGGAGGAACTTCCCCTCTCGGCTTACCGCCCAGGTCAGGACGCAACATGGCCTTGCCGACACTGAGCAGGTGTGAAGCCGGAGACCACGTTAGGCTTTACTCGTCCGCTCATGCCTTTGTTCTTTGCTCAGCAGTCAATGAGCTCGCCTGCGTCCGGGGACCAGGAGAGCGTGCAGTACACAGTCGGCCCCCCATGTCAGGGGTACGATACTGTGTCAGGTACTGATGGGCGCTACAGAGTAAGCCAGGGTCACGATCACCGTCTGCAAAGGAGACGGCTGTTTCCGAGTAGCTGCCTAAGGTCCCTCGGAGGGGGTGACATTCCTGCAGAGACCTGAAGGAAAGGAGGGGGCCCAGCGTGCTGTGCACAGGGCCTTCTAGAAGAGAGCACAGCAAGGCGGAGGCCCGAGGGATGGGCGAGGTGTGAGAGCCTCCAGCCTGTTCGTCCCCACTGCAGCCTGACTTCCCACTCACCGCCATGGCGCGTCCTCCAGCCATCGGGGCCGCGATCGCAAAGCCCACTGGGTGCATCCCAACCTTGTCTCTGCTCATTTGGCAAGAGTTGAACAGCACCAAGACTGCAATTAACCACCATTGACTGTCTCCTGGGTGCAGGAAGGATTTTTTAAAATAATTATTTTATTTGACCAAAGAGAGAGAGAGAGAGAGAGAAAGCAAGCTGCCAGGTCCAGGACTTGAATTACAGTCAGCCTTGTGGGAGTCCAGCGCCCTTCGCCACCACGCCACCAGCTGGCCCCACGGGAAGGATCTTTAAGGACAGACGTGGCCCCTGCCCTCACGGTACTCATAGGCAGTGGGGGAGACGGTACACAAGTAAACAGTTAAGTATAAATTGTGGTAGGTGCAGGAACAGAATCCTCAGGGGCCAGATCTAGAGACAGCCAGGGTGGGGAGGGAGCGGGAAAGTGGGGAGGGAAGGCCTCTCTGAGGCCGGGTCATTTAAACCCGCAATGTAAGAAGTAAAAAGGTGATCCACGCACCGGGGCCATGTTTCAGCTACTCGGCCATCGCGCCGTCACCCTGCGATGGAGTGAGGATATGCCAGGGGTGCTCAGCATCCCTGGAAGGTGTGTACTGTCAAAGAACTGTGCATGCTTTTCAAAGTCACTTCTGCGCCAAAATAAACTTGTATTTTGATAACGTTTTTCCATAAGTGTTGTGACATCCCCTGTGTATTTATGGCGGGGTTACAAACGCCATCACTGCAATCCTAGAGGCCCAGAACCTGCATTTGCACAAACGGGGGTAACACGTATTAGCAGAGGGAACACTCGTGGGCAGGGGCTGAGCAGGGACCTCGGGCAGCAGACTTCAGCTCTGTGGACCTGTTTCTCTGTACGGAATGGAAGGAATGAGGTATTCCTCATTCCCCTTTGATACTGGGTCGTAATGAAGGATTTTCTAATTATATGGAGAAAAACACGCTACAGACTGTGTAGAGGTAAGGTGTTGGATTGATGAAGGCGGAGGCAGAGGGAGGCAGTTACCCTGAAAAGGGAAATAATAGAAATGGTTAGTCTGAGTGTTTAAACATTAAAAGCCTGGGGGCCAGTCCCGTGGTGCAGAGGTTAGAGCCATATGCAGAGGGGGCCAGATCCTACATGGCCAACCACGGTTCAAATCCTGGCCCCAGCAGCTTTGGAGCACATGTGCCTAAACGTCTAAAATGCCCATGGGAAGGAGAAATAGAGGGTATGCCATAACCATACCCCACTGGGGGAGTGCTTTCTTTTTTTCTTGCTAGTGAGTGCACGCACTCTTTGGTAAATTAAAAAAAAAAAAAGAAGAAGAAGAAGAATGCTAGGAATAAAGCTTTTAAAAGAAAAAAAGAAGGGCCAGCTGGTGGCATTGTAGTTAAGACGCTTGATCCCACATAGCCACCCTGCAGCTCGAGTCTTGGACCTGGCAGGTTGAAAAACAAGCGGATGTGTGTGCGTGCCCAAAATGCCGAGAGGAGAGTGGAGAAGGGAGCCGACGAAGGTTGTACCCACAGAAGAGGGGCAGGAGCTAACTTGTGTCTCAAGAGCCATCCAGCCGCCAGGTGGAGAGAATGGATTCATTCAGGGGTGACTGGGAACCGGGAAGAGGTGGCACAAGAGACCACTGGGGACTTGGACGAGGATCGCACTGGGAGCAGCCAGCAGTTAGAGCTGCACTGTCCAGAATGCTCTGGCCTCCCACGTGGCTGACTGTCGTTCGAGTCCTGGAACCTCCTGGAACCGGTCCCACACCTGCGCTGCTCATTAAGGTAGCCACTGGCACATGTGGCTGTTAGACACCTGAAATGCGGCTAGTACAACTGGGAACTGAACGTTTTTTAGATTTTCTGCTATAGGGCACATGTGCTCGCTAGAGAGACAGAAACAGAGACAGAAAGTGAGAAATCACCCCCCAGGCGGATGGCCATGCCACAATCCCTTCTCCTCCATTCTCCTCTTGGGACTTTAGGCACACATGCACCCATGCCCGATGTGAGTTTCAAGCTGCCGGGTTCGGGACTTGAGCTGTGGTTGACCACGTGGGAGTCCAGTGTCTTAACCACTATGCTACCTGCTGGACCCTAAATTTTATTTTAAGGATCATTTATTTTATTTATTATAATTATTATGATTTAATTTGCTATAAGGCTTATGAACTCACCAGAGATGGGGTGAGGGTGAGGGGCAGTGAGAAAGCAAGCTGTCAGGTCTGGGACTCAAACCGTGGTTGGCCATGTGGGAGTTCCATGCCTTAACTACCACATCACTACATTTTAATGCTAATTTACATGTAAACAGCCACCTGGGGTGCACAGCCACCCTGAGGGACAGCACAGGTCTAGCTAGAAGTAGAGGTTCAGAGGGGACAACCTGAGGACGCATGTGGAGGGGGGAGGAGAAGGGCTGGAATCACTTCAGGGCCAGTTTCCCACTGTCTCACTAGGGTTTCTCCAGCTCCGCGGTGAGGGGGACGTTGAGTCTAAGGCCTCACCCCTTCTCCAGTGTCGTGGATCTTGGGCTGAAGGACAGCAAGGACAGTCTTCCTGGCCCAGCCATCAGCGTCACCACTGCTCTCAGTCACTGCACACCCTGTGGTGGCCACGTGTTGGCTGGCCACGGGGAGGGGGTGTGGGTTCTGTTCTGGGTGGAGAAACTAAGGCTCCCACAGCTGCCTCGTCTAAGTCGAGGCCCCAGCAAGCAAGCAAGCTTCACAGCTGGGACTCGAACCTGTGACCTCAAGCACTGTCCAGTGGTGGAGCTGGCAGAGGGCCATCTGGGTCCCTCGGTTGAGGGGAGCTGGGAGAAGGGAGAGGGTGCCCTGTCCTTAGCAGCGGGGTGGGGACAGGAGCAGGACGTGGCTTGCTCAGAGCAGAGGCCGCTTGTCCTAGAGGCCTTTGGCAGGAATGGAGGACAGTGCTCTACCTGGGCACCCGGAGGAGCCGGGCCCAGGGTCAGCCGGGTGTGGGTTCCTGTCCGCTGTGCTCTTGGTTCAGGGGCCGGAAGTCAGTGCCTCGCTGTGGAGGAGGCGGGGAGCTCCTGGTGGGCCTGAAAGGCTCTCTATTCTCGTGGGGGTTTTAGAACATCCCGGGGCACTGTGACTAAGTGCCACATGTAACCCTGGGCCAGCTGCTGGACTGGACCAGATGAGAATAAAGAACATTTGGTGGGGACCAGCAGTTGGCGTAATGGCTATGACGCTGGACTCCCATGTAGTCAACCGTGGTTCGAGTCCCAGACCTGGTGACTTAAACTCACGCTAGGCGTGTGCCCAAGATCCCGAGAGAATGGAGGAGAAGGGACTGAGGTGTGGCCATCCCCCCTGGGGGGTGATTTCTTGCTTTCTGTCTTTCTGGTGAGCGCACATGCCCTATAACTAAAACCTTAAAAAAAAGAACATTTGGTGAGGGACCACCAGGTGATGTGGTAGTCGAGGCACTGAACTCCCACATGGGTGGCTGTGGTTCGAGTCCTGGAACCAGTGGCTGGGAAGTCATCCAGGCACCTGTGCTTCTGTGCCCCAAACCCAGAGAGAAGGGTGAAGAGACTGCTGCATGGCCGTCCCCTCTGGGGTGACTCCTCACTTCCCCTCTCTGTCTCTCTCTGGTGAGTGCACGCTCCTTATGGCAAAACCATGAAAATTAAAAGCACTTGGTGAAATGGACAAAATCTGAATATGGCCTGGGAGGGCTCGTGTGGGCCAAGTTCCGGCCTGTGTGGTGGGTAAGCACCTGCTTGGCCCGAGCGAACACTCCCTCGGGCGTGACAGAATGTCTGCAGTGACCTCTCGGGTGGCTGGGACAAACAGCAGTGTTTACATACAGACAGAGCGAGTGGGGCCGAGTGTAAGCACTTGCCCTGAGAAGCGGAGTCGCTGCATCCCTGTTGCGATATAAAAAGTTACCACAAAATTCTTAAAAGGCTAAAAAACAAAACCTGCCATGCGTAAAGCCAGCCTCAGCGGTGAAATTTTCCTGAGTCTGACTTGCAGCAGCTGGGGGGTGGCTCCGTGAGGAGGGTGCTTACTGAGATTGCCACCCCATGCCACCCCGGCCCCACCCTCCTCCTGGCGTCTGCAAGAACAGGCTGGAGGAATTCAGCCAAACCCATCAACCCAGGAAGCAGGAGCCTCTGGGTGTTGGGGGCACCCGTCCCTCCCCTCGTCGGTCTGACTCTGGAGGTCTGCCCGTTACGCGCCCTGCTGCAGGGCAGCACAGGCACCCTGGGCAGAACTGCTAGTTTTCCAGCACTGACCCTATCAGGCCCAGCTCTGAGCGCTGCACGGTTTAATGCCATGTCCTTTCTGCCACCGTCCAGGGCGGCTGGCTGCCACCTGTTCTATGGATCAGGAAGCAAACAGGTCTAGAGGCACAGTCGCCTGGTGAGCCTCCCCACCCTGTCCCTTCGCCCCCAGCTCACTGAATCCCACAGGGGACCGGGGTGGACAGGGAGGGGTGCCCACCTGCTGTCTGGCTTCAGGGCAGGAAGACTACGACCGCCTGCGGCCCCTGTCCTACCAGAACACCCACCTCGTGCTCATCTGCTATGACGTCATGAACCCCACCAGCTACGAGAATGTCCTCGTCAAGGTGAGGCCCAGCCTGCCGCAGTCCTGGGGGTGGGACTCTCAGGCCAACCCTGCCCTGATGCCCTGCCCCCTCTCTCAGTGGTTCCCCGAGGTCACCCATTTCTGCCGCGGGACCCCGATGGTTCTCATCGGCTGCAAGACAGACCTGCGGAAGGACAAGGAGCAGCTGCGGAAGCTCCGCGCGGCCCAGCTGGAGCCCATCACCTACATGCAGGTAGGCTGCGCCTGCCCCGCCAGGCGGGGTCCTGGGTGCGGGGCCTAGGCCTCGGGCCTCTGGGAGCCGAAGGAAGCAGGGTTCTAAGAACTGTAAGATACTAAGATGGACAGCCCATGAACTTCCTGTCCTGCAGCCCTCATAACTGAGGCAGGTGCTGTTAACATCTAGTTACAGGGGAGACACTGCGCCCCCGAGAGGTAAGCAGCTTGCCCTGGATCACAGCCAGCCTGAAGTGGCGTTAGGACCCACTTCAGTCTCTCTGGCTCTAGAGTCTGTTCTTAACTCCAGCCCCATCCGTCTACCCAAGGGGGCTAGATGAGCAGGCCCTTGTTGGAAGGCAGATCCAAATCCTGGAGCTTTGAGTGAGCCATGGGAAAACAGAGTAAAAGGAATGGGAAGGGAGGGCAGCAGCTGGCATGGTGGTTAAGGTGCTGGACTTCCACGTGGCCAACCGCGGTTCCAGTCCTGGACCTGGCAGCTTTCTTTCTTTCTCTGTTTCTCTCTGGTGGGTGCACATGCCCTATAGCAAATTTTTAAAATAACCATAAATTTGGGGCCAGCAGGTGGTGTGGTGGATAAGGTTGCTGGACTCCCACATGGCTGACCACGGGTCAAGTCCCTGACTGGGTGGCTTGCTCTCTCCCTTTCCTTCTCTCTATCCCTCTCTGGTCAAATTAAAATGAATAAATAAATAAAGTTAAATGAAACATAATTATATAAAGATAGTAATAAATTAAATCTTTTTTAAAAAGGGAATACAAAGGAGTTCCACCCCAAGGCTTCGAGCTCTTCAGAGGCCTGGGAGCCCAGTTCGAGCCCCGCTCCTGGCATTCAGCCCCTCCCCGCCTGATACTGGAGAGGTTGGGTGGAGACTTCCGCAGCAGCACCAGCACCAGGCAGGCGTGTCCTGTCCACACTGGGGAGGGGCCCAAACCGAGGTCTCCACCCCGAAGCCTCCAAAGCTACCCCTAGACCCCCAAGTCCCTGTGGTCAGGCCTCCAGGGCCTGCACTGCAGGCCCCTCCTCTAACGCCAGCCCCTCCGACCCCCTCCCAGGGCCTGAGCGCCTGCCAGCAGATCCGCGCGGCTCTCTACCTGGAATGTTCCGCCAAGTTTCGGGAGAACGTGGAGGACGTCTTCCGGGAGGCCGCCAAGGTGGCGCTCAGTGCGCTGAAGAAAGCCCAGCGGCAGAAGCAGCGCCGGCCCTGCGTGCTGCTGTGACAGGCCGGTGGCTGTCGTGACTGGCCCAGACCCAGACCGCTCCCAGGAACCTGCCCACCCCGCCTCTCCAGTGCCTGGGCGGGACTCTGAGAACGTTCTGGAACTGTCTCCTCGCCCGGCTGGGGCTCCGACTAGACTCACGTCCAGGCTCACACGCGTGTGAGAACGAGGGCGCCTGTTCCCGTGAGGCCAGCATTTGTCCTCATCCTGGCCTCCCAGCCATGGGCTCCCCGTCTGCCTGAAACGCAGTGTCATCCGGTGTGTGGGCAGATGGGGACGCTCCCGGTTCCGCTCCCGGGGCTGCCGAGATAGGGCAGCTGCGTCCTCCAGCTTCCTTTCCCCCAGGAACTCGGCCCGGGCGAGCCCTATCGGGGACCGCAGCCGCAGCCCCGACCCGGGAGCGTGTGCGCAGGCGCAGACCGGAGGGCCATCCCGCCCGCCCCCACTGTCAGAGGGTCGGGATGGTCATGCCCCGGCCCCTGGGACTTCTTGGGCGGATACCGGGTCCGTTTCCCCATCTGCAAATGGACAGGCCTGGCCGGTGTAGACGGACGCCCGACTACCTGCCTGTCCCTCTCGGCCCGCTCCTGCCACCATGTGGCATCTGGGAGCTGAGACCATCTGCTGCCTCGGAGGACTGTGAGCAGCCCCTGCCCACGCAGGGCGGTCTTCAAAACTGGTCCGATTCCGAGTCCCGAACCGCCTCTGGGGAGGTCCGGGTTGAGCTAATGCACACCCGAGAAGCAAGCCTGGGAGCCAGCTTACCCAAGGTGGCATGGTGGCTGCAGGCCAGCCCCCTCACCCCTCACTGGTGCTGGGGCCCCAGCCAGGCCTGAGCCTCTCAGACGTCAGTGTCAGGGAGAGATTTCTCACATGCACCCCCACTCTACCTGGGTTCCCCAAGGCCTGCTATGCCCTGGGGAGTCGGCCAGGGACTTCTGGTCCTCACAGAACCCAAGACATTGTGGGTGAACAATCTGAGCTCAGCCGACCGCGGCCTGTGGGCCCCAGCTGCCACGCCTTGTTTTTGTAAATAAAGTTTTATTGGAACACGGCCATGCCCATTCACTTCTGCACTGCCTGCTTCTGCCTACAACTTTGAGTCCTTGCCACAGAGACCGGAGACCATCTGGTCCTCTACAGAAAACGATGACTGAGTCCTGATCCAGGACACACCCGAGTGTCTAAAAAGGGCCAGGTGGGGGCCCTGAGTGAGTGAGCGGGACAGGGATAAAAGGGAGTGGTGGGGCATGTGGCAAACTGGAGCGGACACTCACCTCCCCCCACCCATGGGAATGTCACCAGATGTTTCCACCTTTCTGGAGAAAGCAGAAATCCAGATTTTTTATGTGGACTCTCTGGGGGTGTGGGGGGAGAAATGGATACCTTATATTTAAAAAATATAACCAATTTGAGAATTTTACAGCTTCTTGGAAGGTCAAACAAGCATGACTGGGGCACTAGCTATGAAGTGTGCTCTCTGGGTCTCAGGGAAACAGTTACAGGCAGCTGAGGCCCCTGTATTGGGAGGGGCAGAACTTCACCCCTACAGACTGGGGACCCAGCTCTAGGTAGATGGAGAGCCTGCTCGGCCCCCCAGGAGCCCTGCGGTGGAGGGAGGATGGTGCTGGCGGGGTGACCTCTTCATGGCTAAGTCCCAGCCAGCTGCAAGAGTGGGAGGGTGTCCGAAGGATGGGAGTGAACTTGAACTTACTGTGTCGGCCATGCCCTCGGCAAAGGAACAGAGGCTGGGGCGCCCTCTGGTGGTGGCTCTCCTGGAAACCTGCCAGCCTGGGGACAACCATCAACAGCTCTCCAGGTCCAGGGGGACTGCAGGCTCAGGAAGCACAAGGCGCAGGCCTAGACGGGCTCTCCCGGGACGTAAATGACCCTCCACCCCGGGGGGGGCAGAGGTCAGAGGAGCAGGGAGCTCGCAGCAAAAGCAGAGTGGCCCGGGAGGGGGTCCACAGGACGCCAAAGGGTTTCATTCCACCCCTGGGACTTGGTAAGGAGCAGTCGACGCAGATTCAACCCTGGTGAGGCACATCGGAACCCCAGCGTGAGGGGTTCAAGTGACGGGAGTGGGCAGAGGGGCTCCCTGAGGCTTTGGGCCCCTCCCGCAGGAAGACTGACCCATCTTAGCCACAGCCCAGCACAATGGGAAGGCCTCGGATTCCAGGGAGGCTGGGAGGACCAGGTATTAAATACATCATAAATAGGGCGGCTGGGTGGCTAATACTGTGCGGGCAGCAGGCGCACGTTCCTCTCTGCTGGGCCCAGGGCTTCACCCGCGCAGCCAAGCCGCTGGCCCACGCTGGCCGCTGCCCTGGCCCTGCCGGGGAGGGCTGGACAGCAGGTGCCCACTGGCACCCCCGGCAGTCTTAACGTCCGGCCCGAGGGGCAGAGTCCCATGGCTCATGGCTTCTTCGTCTTGTTTCTGTTCTGCTGGAGTTTGGCGTGCACGACTTTGAGTGTGGTCAGGAAGTTGCCGAGGAAGAGGACGAGGAAGGTGAGTGCCAACACGAACACCTGGGAGTATCCAGGTTAGCAGAGGTGCCCGGGACCAGGGCAGCAGCAGGCAGGCAGGAGAAGAGAGGAGATGCTTGGGCCAGCTACCCTCTGAGGTGCCCGCCCACCCTTGGCCAGGCCCTGCAGGCCCAGGCTACCCCCCAATCCGCACGAGGCAGAGATGTGGGCACATGGGGTAAAGAAGCGAGTCCTAGGTTCAGGCAGTCCTGGGGAGCCACTGATGGGGTGAACCTCCTTGGGATTCAGAGATCTCTGCAGGGCTCCCGGCCTCCTGAGTCCCTCACACCATTCCCCAGGCTCCAGCAATGGGGAGAAGGAGCTGACCCGGGGGCCTCCTTCCCACATGTGTGCATGCGCACACAGGCACGCACACGCGCACACACGCACACACACACACCCCATACCTGCCATTCTTTGCATTCTTCATGGCTGGAGAGCTCGAACAACGTGACGGCATTGTAGAGCTGCCAGAACTGGGGAAGAAGGTGTCACTGAGACCCCGAGACCCACTCAGGGCCCCCATCAGGTGCACAGACACCCCCTCAATGAGACTCAGGCACTCTGATCCATGCCCCAGCCCCCTGTGAGGCCCAGCCTGAAGGAGGGGGAGGCCTGAAGACCTTGTCCCGGGGCTCGGCACTGACCAGGGGACCCCCACACACTCCAGGGGCACTCACATGGCCACAGAACAGGAAAGGCAGGAGGAAGGTGAGGCCCCGCCACATCCAGGACTGGAATCCTTCTGTAGGGAGGAGGGAGGGGCAGAGAGGAGTCAGGGCTCAGCTGCTCCCCGGCCCCACTCCACGCCCACTGCCCGCCCGGCCAGTCACCTAAGATGAGCCAGGCAGGGTGCCCCATGTGCAGAGACATCCAGACAAGGAGCAGCGCCCATCACCCGGCCTCACCCCTCAAGTCACCACAAGCCCAGCAGGCTGATGACACTCACGAGACACGGGCACTGGGCTCTCAGTTACGTCTACAGTTTGCACAGATTTTACATTTTATCGTGGCTGTCTGGATGCCCGATTTGATTTTCTTTTTTTTTTTTTTTTTAAGATTTTTGCCATAGGGCATGTACACTGAGAGACAAGAGAAGGAAAGAGAGAAATCACTCCTGGGGGCACGGCCACCCCACAATCCCGTCTTCTCTAGTCTCGTCTTGGGACTTCGGGCAAGTGTGTACATGCACCTGGTGTGATTTTCCTTTTAGAAGATTTGTTTTTTAAAGAATGATTTGTTTATTTAATTCCATTTGTTATTTTTTAAATTATTTATTTAATTTTATTTATTCATTCATTTATTTTTTAATTTGACCAGAGAGAGACAGACACAGAGAGAGAGAGGAAGTAAGCCACCAGGTCCAGGACTTGAACTGTGGTCAGCCATGTGGGAGTGTCCAGCACCTTAACCACCACACTAGCTGCTGGCCCCCTCCATTTGTTATTATTTTTTAATTTGATTACACAGAGACAGAGACAGAGAAAGATAAAGGGAAAGTGAGAAAGCAAGCCGCCAGGTCCAGGACTCAAACCATGGTCGGCCAGGTAGGAACCCAGCACCTTTAACCACCACGCCACCTGCCAACCCTATTATTATTTTTCAATTTGACCAGAGAGAGACAGAGAGAAACAGAGAGAAAGGGAAAGCGAGAAAGCAAGCCACCAGGTCTAGGACTTGAACCACGGTCAGCCATGTGAGAATCCAGTGCCCCCAACCACCACGCCACCTGCCAGACTCAAGAATTATTTAATTTTTATTTATCATCATTATTTTTCAATTTGCTACAGGATACATACCCTCACCAGACAGAGAGAGAGAAAGTGAGAAACCAAGCTGCCAGATCCAGGACTCAAACTACAGTTGGCCATGTGGGAGTCCAGTGCCTTAATCACATTACCTGCTCCCCACTGGCCCTCACAGGATTTTCAAGCTGCCAGGTCTGGGACTTGAACTGTGGAGTTGGCCATGTAGGATGCAGCCGCCTTAACCTCCACACCACCTGCTGGCCCTGAATGAACTATTTTCAGTCAAGTCCTGAAAGTAGGGCCCACACTAGAGCAATTGGATGAAAATGACCATCTTAAAAGACAGCAGGGTTTTATCAAAGCAGTTTCCCCTGAATGTTTAGATGGGGAGGGAGCCTCTCCAAACTCCCGATTAGGCACCTTGTGTACATGTTTATACACCTCTATATGAGGGGGCTGCAAAAATGTTCACAGGAAAATGGAATTAAAGTTTATTTTGGGGGTCAATAGGTGGCATGGTAGTTAAGGCACTAGATTCCCATACAGCTGACTGTGGTTCAAGTCCCAGACCTGGTGGGTTGCTTTCTCACTTTCTCTCTGTCTGTCTCTGTCTCTTTCTAGTGAGTGCACATGCCCTAAAGCAAATTTAAAAAAATAATAATAATACATAAATAAAAATAATAGTTTTTTTGGGCGGAGAGGTTTTTGCTATAGGGCACATGCGCTCGCTGGAAAGACAGAAAACAAGAAATCACCCCCAGGGGGGATGGCCACGCTGCAATGCCTTCTCCTCCATTCTCCTCTCAGGATCTTGGGCATGCACGCACATGTGCCTGGCATGAATTTAAGCTACCGGGTCCGGGACGCGATCCGTGATTGACTACATGTGAGTCCAGCGACATAGCCATTACGCCAACTGCTGGTCCCACAAAAAGTTATTTTTACAATTTATTTTGGTACAAAAAAATAGAAATCCATGTGTAAATTGTACACGATATTCATTTTTCACAAGTATTTTTAGGTCCACCAACTTTGTGAACGCTGCTGATATGTAGATATATTACATGTATAACATGCCGTCAATGGGGCATGACCAGACCCCATGGGGGGGGCGCTTTTTTTCCCCTCTGGCCATTAAAAAACAAACGATAGGACACAGAGGCCCAGCACCAGGGCCCGGTGCTCAGTGGGCCTCGCCGTGTCAGCTGAAACGATCCATGGTGAACTGAAAAGCTACTCCAACAGGCTGGCTGCCCTGGCTTTGCTGCCTGGCGGGTCGTGTTCTTGCTAGGATGTGCTCCCAGTGGGGGCTGGCAGGTCCAGTGCATGCCCCTCCCCGGGGCCGATGGTCACTCACCCACTGTGAGGTCCAGGTGATTCCTCTCACCCAGGGCCCGCAGCCTGTAGAGGCAGCCTCTCTGGTAGTAATATTGCAGGAACTGGACGCAGCCTGCAGGGGGAGCACAGTGCCCAGTGAGAGGAAAGGGCGCCCGTTCCCCTCACCCCCAAGTCCAACAGACCTTAGCAAACATTGCAGGCTGGTGGGTCTTCACTGGCCAGAGGATACCTGGATTACAAGCCTTTCCCACCCCCAAGATCCACACACACATGTATACACACACACACACACACACACACACACACTCTGACCTGAGCCCTCCTTATCCCTTATCCAGAACACAAAGGTGGCTCAGAGGTATAAGGATCCATCAAAGCCCCAATCAAATTTGAGACCTCTAGAGTTTTCCTAGGCATGCAGTAGGCACTCAATAGATGCTGGAATGCAAGATGTGTCTGTGCAACACTGAGACACCCCGAAGTGCTTCCACAGAGGGGGGCACCTTATGGGTACCAAAAACGAGAAGGTATTGACGTGGGAAAACAGCCACGATAAGCTGTCAGAAAGCAGGCGCTAACTATAACCCTGTGTACAGGAAGATCCCACGTTTGCAAAAATATACACATTGCAGGGGCCAGCAGGTGGCGTGGTGGTTAAGGGCGCTGGACTCCCACATGGCTGACCATGGTTCAAGTCCCAGACTTGGTGGCTTGCTTTCTCACTTCCCCTCCCTCTCTGTCTCTCTCTGATCAAACTGGAAAATAATAATGATAATAATAATAAAGTTAAATAATTCTTTAAAATAAATATATATATACATTGCAATACATATAAGGAGACCCCAGGGGACAATGGAATTAAAGTATAAGTTTATTTGGTGCAAAAAAATGTTGATGCCCATGTATAGTTTTGTCATAATATGTATTTTTTTTTTTGAAGAGATTTTCACTGTAGGGCGCGTGCGCTCGCCAGACAGACAGAGAGAGACATAGAGACAGAAAGCGAGAAATCACCCCCCAGGGGGGATGGTCACGCCGCAATCCCTTCTCCTCCATTCTCCTCTCGGGATCTTGGGCACGCACGCACACGCGCCCAGCGTGAGTTTTAAGCCACCGGGTCCGGGACACGAACCGCTGTCGACTACGTGGGAGTCCAGCGACATAGCCATTACGCTAACTGCTGGTTCCCATAATATGTATTTTTTACAAACTTTCTGAAGACTCCTCATCTGCAGACATGTAATTATGAATAAAAATGTCTGAAGGACATAGCTCTTAATTAACCTGGATTACCCCTAAGAGTGGAATTATGTACAATTTCTCCTCTTGGCTCTACATATTTGTATTTGTTTAAAGCAGGATTTTATGTAGAAATAAGTTTTTTTTGTTTTTTTTTGAGAGATTTTTGGTATAGGGCACATTTGCTCACCAGAGAGACAGACAGAAAGTGAGAAACCACCCCGAGGGGATGGCCATGCCGCAATCCCTTCTCCTCCAGTCTCCTTTCAGGATCTTGGGCATGCACACACGCGCCCGGCGTGAGTTAAAGCCACTGGGTCTGAGACTCAAACTGAGGTCAACTATGTGGGAGTCCAGCGACACAACCGTTACACCATCTGCTGGTCCCGTGAGTTCTATTTTTTTTTTTTTTAATTTTTTGGAGAGGTTTTCGCTATAGGGCGCGTGCGCTCGCTAGACAGACAGAGACATAGAGACAGAAAGCAAGAAATCACCCCCCAGGGGGGATGGTCACGCCGCAATCCCTTCTCCTCCATTCTCCTCTCGGGATCTTGGGCACGCACGCACACGCGCCCGGCGTGAGATTTAAGCCACTGGGTCCGAGACGTGAACCGCGGTCGACTACGTGGGAGTCCAGCGACATAGCCATTACGCTAACTGCTGGTTCCCAATTTTTTGAAAAAGCAACTAGCACAAGGCATAAAACGCAAAAAGAACAAACAGGGTCATGGTGGAAGATAAAACCCTCCTTGTCCCCAGCAGTTCAGGCCCCGCCCAGGGGCAAGCCCTGGGCCCACCTGCTGTAGTCACACCAGAGCTGTTCTTCCCCAGTGAGAAAACGACGCCTCTGCCCATTCTGCGGATTTATTTCCAACAGAAGTGAGGTGAGTGCCCCAACACTACTGTTTCCACACCGGTCCAGTTCCCACCTGAGGAACTCGCCTCTCGGGGCCCAGGAGGCAGGTGAGGGTCAGGTTCCCCACACCGAGGGCTGGTCTGCCCCTCTTCCTGTCTCCCATCCACGCAGGCAAACAGCAGTCCCAGCTGAGGGCCCCCCTCCGTGAGGGCACAGGGAACGTGACCCTCCCCCTCAATCTGGACAAGAGACACTCACTCTGAAAAATTGAAAAAGCTAAAAACTGGTTGCGAAACTTCTGGTAAATTAGTCCGTTAGGCCTGGAGAGAAGGCAAGAGAAACAGAGGTGAGGCCAGACATCCGTCCCCATAGGGTCCTCGAGGTCCCCGAGGCTGGGGGTCCATCTATCATCCATCCTGGAACCGGGGAGCCCGTGTGGGCATTCCGAAGCCTGTGCTCCCTCCAATTTCCAACCTCCCCAGCTCCCCTGCAGGCGCCTTTAGCACAGTGACCCTGTGGGAAGCTCGCTCCGGCCTGGCAGTGCCTGTCACCTCTGCCCCAGCCTCTGCCCTAGGCCACACGGGACATGAAATAGTCCTGGGAAAACTGCTAGTGGGCGGGGCCCCTGCTGGACTCTGACCAGCGTAAGCTACACTTTCTTCCTGGCCACAAAGCCTGCCCAGGCCACAGCCCTGGAAGCCTCCCCGGCTGGATGGGACCCCTAATGCAGCAGCCTGCCCTCAGCCCCCTGGGGAGGCCCTGGGTGGGGCACGGGGCAGGGAGGGGTGACTCACCAGGTCAGCATCACTCCGGACAGGAACGTGGACACGTAATGGTGAGACACCCACCAGCCTTTAATTCTTGGGGAGAAGGAGAGAAGAAAAGGGGGTGAGGCAGGAGGGACATGGGCAGGGCCCGCTCTGTGGACCCAGAGTCAGAAATGGATCCAAGCCACACTCTTGCCCATCTCTGCCCCAGACCCGTACAACCCTCCACCCCAGCCACCTGCAGATGAGCCCAGAGACCCACCCTTCCTAGGCTTCCCGTGGCTTCTGGGACCCTCCGAGCGTGTCCTAACTTCACCAGGCCTTGAAGCCCTGCCTGCCTAGCCCCCTGGCCTGTCCCTCTCTGGTGCAAAGAGGCCTCAAACATCCTGCTGGCTCTCCCCTGGAACTTGCCAGGCCTGCTGCCCCCTCAGGCCATTCAGCTGCGGGCTGAATTGTGTCCTCCAAATTGCTATGCGGAAGCCTAACCTCCTAGTACCCTAGAATGTGACTAGATTTGGAGATGAGGCTTTTAAAGAGGTCATCGAGGGGCTGGTCCCATGGCCTAGTGGGGCTGGGCCCCACCTGGCTGACCAGTTGGAACCCTGGCCCAGTGGCCTAAGAAACACGCCAGTCACATATGCACATACCCCCAAATCCTGACAGGTGGAGACCGAAGGAGAGGGGACTGCCGTGTGAGCACCCCCTAGGGGGTGCTTCCTCCCTCTCTGCCTCTCTCTAGGGAGCACGTGCACTCTCTAGGAATTTATTTTTTGGAGAGGTTTTTGCTGTAGGGCACATGCACTCACCAAAAAGACAGAAAGAGAGAGACAGAGACAGAAAGCGAGAAATCATCCCCCGGGGGGGATGGTCACGCTGCAATCCCTTCTCCATTCTCCTCTCGGGATCTTGGGCACACATGCACACGTGCCTGGAGTTGAGTTTAAGCCGCTGGGTCCAAGAATCGAACCGCAGTCGACTACATGGGAGTTAAGCGACATAGTCATTATGCTAACTGCTGGTCCCGGAATTTTTTTTTAATGGAAAAAAAGAGCCGAAGAGGTAATCAGGCCAAATGAGGCCACAAAGGCAAGGCCCTCGTCCAGCAGGACTGGTGTCACCAGGAAGGGACACCAGAGGAGTGTAGACAGAAAGGCCCCGTGAGCAGGAGCGAGGAGGCACCATTCGCAAGGTGGGAGAGCGGCCTGAGGGGAAAGCTGCCCTCCCAGCCCCTCACCCTCAGGCTCCCAGCTCCCTCCTGTGGAGAATGGCTGTCTGCGGTGGGAGCCACCGGTCCGGGGTCCTCTGTCAGGGCAGCCTGGCACACCAGCAGGCCCTGTGCTCGCTCTCCTCTACCTGCCTGGCTCAAGTGCAAACTCAGCTCCAGACCCTGTCACCTCCTCCAGAAGACCTTCCATGACCACCCTGTCTGAAAGAGCCCACCGGCCCCCCTGGGCCCATTCCCGTTTCTTTCTGATGTCTCTCTGCTCTCTGCAACTACCCGTATTTTTTCTCATTTGTTCTTTGAGCCCCCTTGCCACCCACATATAGGCTCCAGAAGAGCAGGGGTCGTGTCTGTTTTGTTCACCAATGTCTCTGGGACAGCAGGCTCAGAGCAGCTACTCAATGAATGTGCTGGACACACGTGCACGCACACACGCTACACACGTGCAGGTGCGGGACCGTGACAGACTCCATGCACCACATCTCCCTGGGACCGTGCGCCCCAGGCCCATCTGCTGTCACAGGAGCCCTTGCCCAGGCCTGGGCTCACGCGCACGATCCAGACGCTGTGGGGACCCTGTCTCAGGCTGCAGCTCGGGGCTCTCAATCCACAGCAGGGGGAGGGAGCTGGTTATCACCATCTTTGGCATCGAGGGGGGTTAAGGAGGAAACCTGTCCCAGGCCACAGCGGGCCGCCCGGCCCCTCCGTAGCAGCTACCCAGATGCGTGGCGGTGATGCGCTTTGCCAAACGTGCCCTGCACACTGCAGGCTCCTTCCTCCCAAGGACTGGGCAGTGGGGATCAGGGACCGGGAGACAGTGATCAACCTTCATCCTTCCAGAAGTCTCTCCTGGGAGAGAACAGACAGGGCTGTGGCAGGGATGGGGTCCATGGTGCTGCCACTCACTCAAAGGGGAACCACGGGGGCTGCTGATTTGCTGGCTTAGAATTTCTTTTTAACTGAAATCATCCTGCAACTGTCGTCCCTGTCTTAACCGTCAGGCCGGTACCTACAGATCTGTCACAGGTAAGTGACGCGTGACATTAAGACGTGGCTCTGCCGCAGCGTACCTGTCACTATCGATCTCGTGCTGTCGTGAAGCCCCGTGGAAGTCCCCTAGTGCTATGACGCTTTCTCCACGGTGGCTGGGGGCAGGACAGCTGGGTGAGGTGTGTGCATCCTTGCCAAATGACCCCTAAACAGCCATCCCCATCGACGCTCCCATGCACATGCAAGAGCGTCTGGTCTCCAACCCTCACCGACCTGCCGACATTTTCACATTTCTCTTCATCTTGTCAGATGAAAACTGGTGCATCCTTGAGGTTTTAATCTGCGTTTTTCTAAGCTGTGGTGGTCTTAAAACCTTCCAACCAGAATATGCACCTCTCAGGGGCAGGGACTAGACCCGAACCACCTCTTCTCCTATGGCCCAGAGAACAGTTATGGACACCCATCCACTGTGGGGTTTTTTTTGAGAGGTTTTTTATTACAGGGCACATGGGCTTGCCAGAAAGACAGAGACAAAGAGACAGAAAGCGAGAAATCACCCCCCAGGGGGAATGGCCCCTCATAATCCCTTCTTTTTCATTCTCCTCTCGGGATCCTGGGCACGCACGCACATGCACCTGGCGTGAGTTTAAATCACTGGGTCTGGGATTCAAACCATGGTTGACTACATGGGACTCCAGTGATGTAGCCGTTAGGCCAACTGCTGGTCCCACCCATCCACTGTTCAAACAACAGCCCGTTCGTGCATCAGGGGTACTAGAGGGGTCAGGTTTTCTGGAGCTCTGTATTTCCAGCACCAAGAGCACCAGGCAGACAAAAGGCACTCAGTAAAGGCTGGTGTGAGCTGGCATCCAGGAGGCATGGCTGGTGGGAGTGGCTGTAGTCTGGATGCTCCCGGCACGGAGGGGCTAGCAGGTGCCTGGCGAGTCCCTGGGGACAGGATAAGATGTCCACCTACTTCTTTGTCCCCAGCATCTCCCTCCCCAGCCCACGGATCCCAGACTTGCCTGTCAGAGTCTAAGAGCATCTCCGGCTCCCATTAACAACAAAGGCAGCTGGCCAGACCCTAGGATTTTCAGCTTGAAGAGCGACCAAGAGGTCTCCGCAGCCTCGCCAGAACTCTGCAAAGCTGCGCACGAGCCCTCAGATCTTGGCAAGCCTCACGCTCCTTTGTCCTACTCCTCAAAGTGCCCCGAGAGATGCCCTCTTCTTGTCTGGGAGCGGCCTGAGCCAGACGCAGGCTCCGGCAACAAGCTTGACTGAGCAGCAGCTTCTAATTTCACAGCTCACGGTGCCTGGAGCCTGGCTCTGACAGATGCCACCAATAAGCACAGCTCAGCGGCGTCGGGTGAGGCCAGAGCACTTCCTCCCCAGG